GTTTTTTCCATGTTTTTAAATATAAGACCATAAATGAACATTCTGTCTGGAGCTCACTCGGCCCTGAACATCAGGCTCAGACCAGAAACGGACTGGCCGTTGGGAGTACTGGGACTTTTCCCGGTGGGCCGGCGCACGCACCGAGGGGATGAAAAAAGTGTAGTTGCGCTCATCACCAGTAGATGGCGATAATGCGCCGATTCATTGTTTACCAACCACAAAGACCGAAGAAGAAAAGTTTGATGAATAAAAGGAAGAAGAAGAAGAACCGGACGGGAATTCCGAGGTACACTTCGCTGCAGCACTTGGGAATTCCACCGTGGATGATACCAGAAGCAAATGTAGATTTAACTTTGTTACACAGAAGGCAAGCAGATAAAACATTCATTTGTACCTCAACAATAGTACATGAGTACATAGATAAATTTTATGATTATGTAAAAGTAATACAGATGCATCCCAGAATCAATCAGGTGATACAGAGGTAGAAGTCATTGTTCCAGAATTTAAAATTCAAGGGAAGAAGCTAAATGAAGGGTTATCTGTTCACACAGCAGAAATGGTTGCAATGATGTTGGCAATGGAATGGACTGAAGAAGTAAGACCTTTAAGAGCTGTTATTTGCTCTGTTTCAAGCTCATCTTTAATATGTATACAAAGAAAACACCCAGAAAGTCATCCAGATGTTTTAATAGACATACAGCAAATACTATATCAGATACAGATGATGGGGTTAATGCTTGTGTTTTTATGGGTACCTGCACATATAGGGGTGAAAGGAAAGGAAATGGCAGACAAGAAGGCCAAAGATTCTGCAAGGAAGAATGAAGTTAATATAAGAGTTTCATTTAGTAAGTCAGACTAAAAGCATTATTTAAAAAATTTGAGAAAAATGGCAGAAGAAGTGGGAAGAGGATGTAAGAGGAAGATGGCTCTATAGAATTCAAAGAATGGTTGGAGAAAATAGAGGAGGTGTTGGAAGAAACAGATTACAGGACAGAAAAATAACAAGGTCACGGTTGGGTCATACGGGACTTAATGCAACTTCACAGATAAAGGGGAAACATGATACAGGAAGATGAGAGTTTTGTGGGGAAATTGAAACTATAGAACATGTTCTGTCAACCTGTAGGAAGTACCAGACAGAAAGAACTGAAATGATAAGAAGTCTTGAATGAGAAAAAGAGCAATATAATCTTTTAAAGTTATTAGGAAAAAGATATTTTGATGCAAGTTATAAGATTATGTTTCATTATCTAATAGT